TTATTGAAGACAGAATACCTGGTGGAATATTAATAGCTTTACTATTTCAAATGATTGCAAAAGAGAGCTTAAGTCATGCTAGCTTAATGACTTAACAATGAAATTATTCTAGCTTGTATCCCAAATATTTGTGACAATAAGTAAGGAGTAAGTTTGGTTGGTTTGCTGTTTAACGCCACACTCAGCAATATTCCAGCTATATGACGTCGGTCTGTAAATAATCGAGTCTGGACAAGACAATCCAGTGATTAATATCATGAGCATCAATCCACGCAATTGGGATCGATGACATGCATCAACCAAGTCAGCGAGCCTGACCACCCGATCCTGTTAGTCGCCTCTTACGACAAGCACAGTTACCTTTTACGGCAAGCATTGGTTGCTGAAGACCTTTTCTACCCCGGAATCTTCACGGGTCCGGAGTAAGTAATACATATGATGATGACTGGGGTCCTTAGCCATTCTTCAAACTTCATAATTACAAGTGTGGTCTTAGCAGTTGGTTTCATCGACCATGTGGTTCGAAACGTCATGACTACAAAATCTCCAATATACAGTCAGAAAAGCTTCCATACAATATTAATAAAAACGACAAAACCCTTTCCATATTCATAAGCAATCTCGAGCTTCGATTGTAATATTCCTACCATATCATGATCATGTGTTTATGAATCAGTATCAAATAGTAATGACACATGTTCACAAAAAGGTGAGCGTATCCTGCCCCACTGTTATAATGTCACAAACACATGCAGATGCAAATTGTTCACCTGAAAAAACATGGGAACGTATGGTACAAGTCAAAATAGGAAATTGCATCGGACATCATTCTTGTCACCAATGTACCATATTTGGAAATGTCCTCAAGATGTCTTTTTGAAGCATTGCCGTGTTTACTGAGGCCTTGAATGTTGTAACCTTGATGAAACAACTTCTGAGCAAGAGTTGTATGACGCTCTTTGAGTGAGTGAGTGAGTTTGGTTTAACGCCGCTTATACAGTATTCCAGTTATATCGCAGCCTGTCAGCTTAATATGGGAGGAAAGCCCCAAGTGATGCAGGTCTCAGACGTTTACCGGTTCGGTGAAACCCACGACCAAGGGTATGGTGCTGACAAACCTAGAAACATAATCGGGGCGAACCAGGATTCGAACCCACAATCATAGGTTTCTGGCGTGCCCATGGGACGCAACTCTGCACAGCGAATCGCGGCGCCTTAGACGACTGGGCCACCCGTGCCCCCTGATGCTCTTTGAAATCTTGGAAGACAGAGTTACTCAGTTGCTTGACATTGAGAATTTGTGATTGGAAAGTTGGACTTACTAAATAATGTCTATGGTGAGGTCTAGATTTTATGTAACCTCTATGAAGGTCAAGGTTTTGGGAAGTTGCACTTTTAAACATGATGGAGGCATGATTGGTTGATGTCCTGAGAACTATTTTTAAAGAGAAAATGTCAGTCACTGAATGAAAATTTGTCAACATGTCATGGTTGTATCAAATATGAAGGTTTGTTTGTTTGTTTGTTTGTTTGTTTGTTTGTTTGTCGTCCTCAGCAATATTCCAGCTATATGATGGCAGTCTGTAAATAATCAAGTCTGGACCAGACAATCCAGTTACCGACATCGTGAGCATCGTTCTACGCAAATGGGATACGAAGACATGCATCAGCCAAGTCAGCGAGCCTGACCACCCGATCCTGTTAGTCGCCTTTTACGACAAGCATAGTCGCCTTTTACAGCAAGCATGGGTTGCCGAAGACCTATTCTACCCTGGATGTTCACGGGGCCAAATATGAGGGTCATCTTAGAGTCATGACTTGCAAACAGTTTAATTTAGTATTGGCAGTATGATATGGAGACTTCATATTTGCAACACCATGCAACACTGTAGTTACAAATGTTCTCACCTGTGATTAGTGAAAAATAAAGGTCAAGATTGGTCACTCTTTTTGCTTCCAAAATCCTTTAAACCATGCAGACAATTATGTTTCTAGGTTTGTCAGCATACCTGTGCTTGTGGGTTTCGCCGAAGTGATAAACGTCTGAGACCTGCATCACTTCGGGCTTTCCTCCCACATTAATCTGACTTGCCGTGATATAACTGGAATACTGTTCGTTCGTTCACTCACTCACTCACTCACTCACTCACTCACTCACTCACTCACTCACTCACTCACTCACTCACTCACTCACTCGTGATAACAATGAATAAGTGATTGCAAATGACTCCACAGCATTTGATTGGCTTCTATGTGTCCATCAACCAAAATAAATTAGGCTACGCCCACTAACGAACTGCTGGTTCCTGATTGCCTTGTAATGGTGGGTGGGGCTTGTGTACTGTACAACCACTTTGACTTTTTTAACACCACAAAAGAATATTGAAGTCAATTCTTATTTAGACCAGAGATCTTATTGTAAGACATGGTGCTTAACCAATATAAATTGGCTTTTGTTCATAAGAAAAAACATTTTTTAATACCTACCACCTAAGGTTGGTCACTCACACATAGAAAGACTTCATTTGTTAACAGTAAGATTGACACTGTATGAGGAGGATGTTATTGACGCTTGACATTTCTATATTTTAGATGGGCAGGGCGTATTAAGGTGGCTATGACGTGGGATTTCCTGTCTAAAAGTCATTATTGTTCACAAAGTGAATTAAAGTGATGACATTAGACTAGAGGCACATATCAGACTCCGGTTATTAAAGTAATTGGATGTTTTATTTCAAAATTGCACTTCGGTGTCATTAGACATGTGTTTTTCCATTCTAGAAGTGGGGAATATGGTTTTATTCCGCTTTTAGAAATATTCCAGCAATATCACAACGGGGACACCAGTAATGGGCTTCACACATTGTACATTGCCGGGAATCAAACTCAGGTCTTCGGCGTGACAAGCGAACGCTTTAACCACTAGGCTACCCGACTGCGTCCCAGTCCAATAGTAATGACATTAGAATGAAAGTGGATACTACATTCCTATTGAGGTAGCTAGAGGTTGGTCTGTTTTAATAGTTGTACTACATTAGGCCAGAGATCCATCAGTGGATGGTCTGTTTTAATAGTTGCACTACATAAGACCAGAGATCCATCAGTGGATGGCCTGTTTTAATAGTTGCACTGCATTAGACCAGAGATGCACACAACAGACATTGGATGGTCTGTTTTAATAGTTGTACTGCATAAGACCAGAGATGCACACAACAGACATTGGATGGTCTGTTTTAATAGTTGTGCTGCATTAGACCAGAGATGCACACAACAGACATTGGATGGTCTGTTTTAATAGTTGTACTACATTAGACCAGAGATGCACACAACAGACATTGGATGGTCTGTTTTAATAGTTGTGCTGCATTAGACCAGAGATGCACACAACAGACAGTGGATGGTCTGTTTTAATAGTTGTACTACATTAGACCAGAGATGCACACAACAGACATTGGATGGTCTGTTTTAATAGTTGTACTGCATAAGACCAGAGATGCACACAACAGACATTGGATGGTCTGTTTTAATAGTTGTGCTGCATTAGACCAGTTTGTTTAGTGATTCATAAACACATGCTTATGATATGGTCTGAAGTGTGCAATCGACTCAGCTTTATGCAGAGATTTCTATGGAAAGGGTTTTGTCACTTTATTTAATAGTGACCCGTAAAGATCCGGGTTAGAATAGGCCTTCAGCAACCCATGCTTGTCATAAAGGGTGACTATGCTTGTTGCAAGAGATCGTGTGGTCAGGCTCGCTGACTTGGTTGATGCATGTAATCGTATCCCAATTGCATGGAGCAATGCTCATGATGTCAATCACTGGATTGTCTGGTCTAGACTTGATTATGTACAGACTGCTGCCATGTAGCTGGAGTATTGCTGAGTGTGGCGTTAAACAACAAACAAACAAACAAAATAATTTAATAGTTGTACTGCATTAGACTGGAGATGCACACAACTTTATTATCTAGTTGACATCACTCTTTTCGGTTTCCAGTGGTGTTTCATTAAACAAGTGTTTTGTTGAATGTTAGTGACATGCTATGTGATCAGCTGAACATCTTGTGTAATGCTTTGAATGTTAAGGAGAGATGACATGCAGAGGTATGTGAAGGTGTTACAGCAGGCCCGTAGGAAGGTATTTCACAGTCGGCTTGCTAATCCTGGGCCAATACATACATTAATCGGTTGGGGGGCTGTTTTTCGTCGGCACTTGTTATTTCATTTCGAATGTCTGTCCTAAACCATCAAAGGGATTTCTTTAAATTGTAAATTGAAATGCATGGTCAGACAATAAACTTACATCAGAGCCTTCTTTTTCTGAATTTTTGTAAATATGCAATCATGCCAGGAATAGTTAGGATGAAAAACTGACCAAAAAAATCTCATCTTTGATACGAAGATGGCCTTCTTACACCAGCAACATTTAAGTCTCTGCTAATATACCAGCAACATTTACGTCTCTGCTAATATACCAGCAACATTTACGTCTCTGCTAATACACCAGCATCATTTAGGTCTCTGCTAATACACCAGCATCATTTACGTCTCTGCTAATACACCAGCATCATTTACATCTCTTCTAATACACCAGCATCATTTATGTGTCTGTTTACATCAGCAACATTTACGTCTCTGCTAATACACCAGCATCATTTATGTGTCTGTTTACATCAGCAACATTTACGTCTCTGCTAATACACCAGCATCATTTATGTGTCTGTTTACACCAGCATCATTTATGTGTCTGTTTACACCAGCATCAGTTAAATCAGCTGCAGAGTAATGAGGTTGTATGTTTGACCTCGCCCCGTGTTGCAGTAGATATCGCTGTGATTTAATGGAAGTGTGCCAGACAGGCACGGCTGCTTAATTTAACATGAGTATTAGGTCATGGATGCAAGGTATAGAATGTGGCATGTACAGCTAACATCCTCTTGAATAGGGGCAAGGTATGCATGTCTGTTTACGGTCCTGGTTAGAAAGGGTGTGACTCACCTCCAAGGTTGTGTCAGTCTCTTTACAGGCAGTTGGTGTAATGCAGTGCACCTGGTCCACTTCACAAACATGATGTACTGACTTAACACACAACTGATTCAAAACTTATATAATGTCAGTGTAGTGGTATTGTCTACTTCTGTTAGAAAAGGTTCCACTTGACTTACGCAATGCTTGATGTAGATAAAGGTGTTCTTGATGTTCTCTTAGATGATTGTAGCTCCCATTTGTTAACCGGTAACACATTAGGGGTGGGGTATTTGTTTGTTTGTTGTTTAACGCTGCAAACAGACATATTCCAGCTATATGACGGCGGTCTGTAAATAATTGAGTCTGGACCAGATATTCCAGCGATTGACATCACAAGCATCAATCCGTGCCATTGGGATACGATGACATGTGTCAACCAAGTCAGCAAGCATGACCACCTGATCCCATTAGTCACCTCTTACGACAAGCTTAGTTGCCTTTTACGGCAAGCATGGGTTGCTGAAGATCTATTCTACCCCAGATCTTCATGGGTGGTATTCATTTATGCATATACACATTACACATATATTCAGATATAATACAAGATAAGATACATTGCAAGAACATTATTAAGATACATATTCTGTTAAAATGAGTAATATGAATATTGTTATTGATTTAATAAACATATTTAATTATTAACGTCTACATACATCTTCAAACAATGAAAAGGGGAGTGGGGTAGCCTAGTGGTTAAAGCGTTCACACATCACGCAAAAGACCCAGGTTCAATTCCCCACATGGATACAATATGTGAAGCCAATTTCTGGTGTCCCCTCGACAGTCGTGATATTGCTGGAATATTGCTAAAAGCAGCGTAAAACTGTATTCACTCAAACATTGTATGATGCATATTCTTAAAAAAGTGATTGGTGCTCCTGCTCTTGATACAAATAATGTATGCACATGGCAACACTGGCACCCATCACTCATGAATAAGTACTTATCAACATATTAATCATTGCGTGGATCGATGCTCTTGATATTATTCACTGGGTTGTCTGGTCCAGACTCGATCATTTACAGACCGCCGTCATATAGCTGGAATATTGATGAGTGCAGCGTTAAACAACAAACCAACCAACATATTAATCAGTACCCACATGATCATACACTACAGGGGCGGATACAGAGGGGGGGTGCGGGGGTGCGGACCCCCCCTTTTTATTTCGAAAAAAATCTTTATTTCTGTATAAATTACCACCAAAGACAATAAATAGATCTTAATTGTGCACCCCCCCTTTTCAAAAAAGCTGTATCCGCCCATGCACTAATTGAGCAGTATTCACCCTGAGACGAGTTCACCAGAACATGTCTCCTATGGTCAGACAGATTATTACCCAAAATGCAGTGAGCTGTAGCGCTCAATCCCATATAACACCAGGTTAAGGGCACAGTGAGGTTAAAGGTTAAATGAGGTGAATGTCTGGGCTGGGTTTGATCTAGACCCTAGTTACATGCCATTTACCGGTAATTATGGTTGTGGGGACAAAGATCAAGTACAGACAATGGAATGAGGATAAGCCAGTGGCTGAAGTGGGATAGCCAGGGCATTTGGCACACAAAAAATAGTTTTTTTTCTTAACACTGACGTGACTGTAGGTCTTTGCTGGTTCTGAACATTTGTGAACATAAGAAACAACAACTTTTGTTTTTGTTTGTTTAACGCGGCACTCAGCAATATTCCATCTATATGACTGTGGTCTGTAAATAATCAAGTCTGGACCAGACAATCCAGTGATTAATATCATGAGCATCGATTACACGCATCAACCAAGTCAGCAAGCCTGACTACCCAATCGTGAAATTCGCCTCTTACACCAAGCATAGTCATCTTGCATTTTGTGAAATAAGGATGTTAAGAAACAAAAAAACAAACACAGAAATATGTTGTTTTATGAACTGTTTGCTCCTAAATTGTATTCAGTTTGTACCATAAGGCCTATTGCTCATCGGTACGTTGCATCTATTCACATATAAATTTCCTTTGTGATAATCATCTTAAAAGTTTTTCATCTAACTCAACTCTCAACTCTCAACTCTCAACTCTCATCATTACTCAAAGGAAACACTAACAGTGGTACAGAGTTACATTTTACATGTACAGTAAACTACGGTTATAACGAACTCAAAGGGACTACTAATTTTAGTTTGTTATAACCGTAGTTCGTTATAAGTACATATGCAGCAAGACTACAGCAAGTAGTCGGGACCAAAAGTAAGTTCGTTATATCCGTCAGTTCGTTATAAGCGTGTTCGTTATAACCGTAGTTTACTGTAAATGTATACAAATTACAACAAGATGGCATATAAATGTTTTAGAAAGCTTGATAACCTTTTCAGGACATAATTATTCCCAACAGTTTCTTATATTTTGACATGTGAAGCCATTAAAATAATAATCACTGACAAAAGAAGAATGTTCATTCGCCAATGCTTTACATGTGAATAAATAATAAAACTCGTGGCCAATTTGTTGTGAATTACACAATGTACAAAATCTCTCTTCGTGAGCAATGTTCAGCCAGTTCAACTTTTTCAATTGGTAATTTCTGATTGCTTGTTCTAAATAAAATAAAGGTTAAGAAGTGTTCAGGTATCAACATGAACAGCCACTAATTTAGCAGTGTTCACCCTGAGATGGGAGCGGTCGGGTAGCCTTGTGGTTAAAGCGTTCGCTCGTCATGCCAAAGACCCGGGTTCGACTCCCAACATGGGTACAATGTGTGAAGCCCATTTCTTGTGTCCCTTGCCGTGATATTGCTGAAATATTGCTAAAAGCGGCGTAAAACCATACTCACTCACTCACCCTGAGATGAGTTCACATGCACATGTCCCCTTAAGTCAGACAGACTAATGCTCATTGTGTCAATTACTGGATTGTCTGGTCCAGACTCGATTATTTACAGACCGCCGTCATATAGCTGGAATATTGCTGAGTATGGCGTTAAACAGCAAACAAACAAACAACAGACAGACTATAACCAACAATGCAGTGAGCTCTCAATCCCATATGACACCCAGGGTGAGGTCACTGTGAGGTTAACCAAATGCGTCCAGCAATACACAATTGAAAGACTGGCTCTCACTGTTCAGCAGATTCAGTGATATCAATAACTCGAACCATGTCTATTTATTGCAGGGTCACTTGTTGGGACAGATAGCTAAAACTAGAAACTTTGCATGAATGCCACAATGATCTTTCTAAAGTTTCTTCAAATAATCTCAGTCCATAATTTAGTTTGGTTTGCAACTGAAAACATTGATTTTGGATATTGGTGCTCTTAGTTTGTAGATGTTGTAAAATTAGGAGTCACTGTCACAATTAGTGTTTAAAGCTGAAGTTTTGGTGGGATATTTCCATTGGGTGAATGCAAATATTCCTTAAATTGAATTAGTCTGCATGTCCTTATATGTCTCCATTCATTCACCTGATGGAAAAGACCCGTAGGTCTTCAGCAACCCATGCTTGCTGTAAAAGGCGACTATGCTTCTCGTAAGAGGAGACTAACGGGATCGGGTGGTCAGGCTCGCTAACTTGGTTGACACCTGTCATTGTATCACAATTCTGTGGATTGATTCTCATGATGTCAGTCACTGGATTGTCTTGTCCCGACTCGATTATTTACAGTCCGCTGTCATATAGCTGGAATACTTGCTAAGAGCAGCGTTAAACAACAAACAAACAAATCACCTGATGAAAGGTCAAGAAGCAGCCCTGAAACGTTATGTATGTATAATAATGTTGTTATCCATCAACCTCCTTGTCCTGAAGGGCGGTCGGATAGCCTAGTGGTTAAAGCGTTCGCTCGTCACGCCGAAGACCCCGGTTCGATTCCCGACATGGGTACAATGTGTGAAGCCCATTTCTGGTGTCCCCCACTGTGATATTGCTGGAATATTGCTAAAAGAGGCGTAAAACAATACTCACTCACTCACTCCTTGTCCTGATTATGTCTGAATGCCCATGAAGACATTTTCCTCATATACTTATTGGGGCGGTGGGGTAGGCTGGTGGTTAAAGTGTTCACTTGTCACGCTAGAGGCCCGGGCTCGATCCAATTCCCCACATGGGTAAAATGTGTGAAGCCCATTTCTGGTGCCCCCCGTCGTGATATTGAGGGATTGTTGCTAAAAGCGACTAAAAACCTTACTCACTCACTCACTCGTATACTTATTTACTACTTAAAACAAGTTAAAGTACACCCACAGTTGGAAGGCCATGTGGCAGTACCAACCAGCCAAAACAGATTATCTGTATTAGACTGTCTATAACAAAGGAAAATATTGGATGTTCCTTATCTGTTTTGAGTAGTATAGGTTGTTTTTTATCGCCATGAAAATGACAGATTGACAATGGTATTATAACTTTTTCTAGTAGTATATGTTGTTTTTTATCACCTTCATGAAAATGACAGATTGGCAATGGTATTTTAACTTTTTTTAGTAGTATATGTTGTTTTTTATCACCTTCATGAAAATGACAGATTGACTACAGTCATATAACTTGTTTTAAGTAATATATGTTGTTTTTTATCACCAACATGAAAATGACAGATTGACAATGGTATTATAACTTTTTCTAGTAGTATATGCATGTTGTTTTTTATCACCTTCATGAAAATGACAGATTGACAATGGTATTATAACCTTTTTTAGTAGTATATGTTGTTTTTTATCACCTTCATGAAAATGACAGATTAACTACAGTCATATAACTTCTTTTGATTAGTATATGTTTTGTTATCATCATCATGGAAATGAAAACTAAACTCTGCTAAGGTCTTCTAGTTCTTTACAAACGTGAAGATTCATCCTCATTGTCTGGGCTGTGTGGTATGTACAGTTGCCGTGAACTAGATAGAAACAAGGTCAGTGTGAATACCCCTTGAAATGTTTTAAACTTGAAATATTGGACGAGTTCATGTAAATACAGTGTGTGTGCGGCCAAGCTTGTTCCCCGCTGCGGATCTTTCATTGAGCTGTGGGTAATGTAAGCCAGTGTCTGCATAGCGTCCCTAGTAATCATTCAGTCGGAGTGTACCCAAAGCAGTCT